CCCCCCACTCATGCACAATCATAAGGGGCCCACCTAATTATGTGTATTACTGCTCTTAAGCATATTTATCCTTTACTTTGCAAATCGTGGCACAAGCTGGTTGCCTGTTCCTACCTTAGGGTGGCCACAGAAGAGGAAATGCTCAAAACTTCAGGTTGTAAAGAGCTCTTCCTAACCCCCTCCTCCTTCTCCGGATGTAAGCTCACTCAGTTACTGGGCAAAGGGTTTCACCCCAGCTCAGCTATCCTGGAGGGGAGACACATTTCTGTGGCCTTCCTAGCATCCTGTGGCCTCCTTCCGAAGCCTCTGGGGCAGGTTCCCCAAACTTGTCAACTTTAAGACCGGTGGACTTCAACTCCCAGAATTCTCCAGCCAGCTGGGAGTTGAAGCCCACAGGTCTTAAAATTAACAGGTTTGGGGACCCCTGCTCTGGGGCATGGCAGAGGGCACTTGTGGCCCACCCTTTTGCTTTGAGGTTTGTAGGAGCCAAAGAAAAAGCCAAGAGTGGTCTTGGCATCCAAAGCGTTGATTTGTACTTTGGAAAGAGACTTTGCGGTGGAAGAAAAGAGACAGTCATTCCGAGGTTCAAGGTTGGTTTATTTTTTTACTTGATTGCATCTCTGCCTAAGGCAGAATAAAGGAAGACCAACCATCACCAAAGCAGCCTCAGCTCAGAAAGCATTTCATTAAAAACTATGGCTCTTGTAATTTACAAGTGCAAAGTTGTAAGATTATAAATGATTACTAAAAAGCATTTTGCTTACTAACGTGAAGCACCACACTTCTGTGATGGATCATAATTAACCAGATACAAACAGGGTTTCTTTGGCCATGTGGCCGCCTGAGCACACGGTGCTGGCATGGCTGACCGAATTCCAGGGCTCCTGGCAAGGAGAGCAGCAAGGCCTGGTGGCATTGCCAGCTGCCCACAGGGGCTTCTTGCCCTGCTGCTCCTCCAGGCAGCAGCCCCCAGGATGACTTCAGCATCAACCACTCCAAAGAACCACTTGAGAGATAGATGCAATGTGCATCAACCGATCAACTGATCCTGGCCTGCAAGTGAACCTTGTTCTGAAGGGGGCAGGACCAGGAACAATCGTTGCAAATTCATTACCGAAGGATCTATAACTGCCCGTATTGGACTTACCAATCCTCAAGACTGAGTTGTGATAGAAAAGGATTAGCTAACCATGCACCCCCCCCTCCCCCGCCCTGGTCAGGTTTCCAGTGGGTCTTTCTACAGCCACCAAGAAAGTGGTGTTGTCTTCTGTCAGCAGACAAGCAAGTTGCCCAAAACAGCTGGGCACTAAAGGCTCCCCAACAGTTGATCTAAGCAAGTCCCTTTTCTGGAGACCCTCCTGGTTTCACATTAATGCATTTTGCATTTAGCCTTGGGATTTGTGACATCTGAGCTTTAGATATAAACTTGATTATGATGTTAACATTGCTAAGATGCTCCATGGAGCATTTTCACTGCTCCATCTCAGGGCACTTGCCAGAACACTCCAGGAAGAGGTGCAGGTGCCCGCATGGCAGGACTTGCCTGCCACCAGCAGCACTGAAGGAGGAGGAGGGATGCAGGCTTGTTCCCAGAAGAGAGGAAATGACATGGAGGGCTTAGTTGTGTTCAAATCTTACTCTGGAAGCAACACAGAACTTTGGGCAACTGAAATGACAGTTGGTATTTAGCTTGAAACAAATGTTATGCTTCACAATCCAAGGAGGTTCCAAACCAAGGGAAAGGAGACCACTAGGACAACCACATCGACAGAGAGAGGCAGGAAGCCCTTCCAGAATTCCCCTCCTGGCAAGTCATTGTCCTGGCCAGCTTCTTTTCCACAAACATCAAACTCTTGGGGTACAGATACGAGGAGAAACCATCATTCTGCTGTCTGCCTTGGGCTGAGGAAGGAAGCATGTCTCGGCCACCTGGAAGCAGCACAGTTAGGATGCAAGTCAGATTCCATTCATTCCTCACAGTTCATTCTGCAGGCCCTGGAACTTTTTTCTCCCTGCTATTTCTTTTGGGACCGGCTACATCTCCCTGCAGCCATTTGGGGAAGGGCTATGGTTGTAAATCATAACCTCTTCTTCTCTGCCCCACTCCAGTCCTGGCTGTGCCATAGCCAGAAAGCTTGGGACTCACACCATCTTCCTTTCCAAATCAACCTCTTCGGAGCAGCCACATGGTTAGGAGCAAGAGACACACTCACGGCCAGCAAGGCCGTGCTGCCTGCCTTCTGCCTGGCATAAACCAGTCAGCCAGCCTTTATGCAGCACGAGAAAATGGCTCAGCATTGTGGTTCCTGGGCCAGTTTCTTGGATTGCTTGAGGCAGACCTTTCCATCCCACCTGAGCCCCCTACAATCCTGGTGCCTGCCCTCCATGAGTGGCCGCTGGATGAGGGTCCAAACTGCAGGCAGAAAAGGATGTTTTGCCCCCCCCAGTTGGGCTTCCCTCCTCCAGCTGTGTCACACCCCAAGGTGTTGAGTCTTGTATGTGAGGATTTCAGCAGCCAGCTGCTGTGGCTCCAAGAGGTGTGGGAAGCGGTTCATGACAGTCTCCACCAGATGAGGATGGAAGATCCCACAAAGCTTGACGTGCACCTTTGCACGCTCTTCTGCAAAACTGTCTGGGGAGGCCCAATGGTGTGAGGAGTCCTTGTAGGCCAGGCAGGGAGCTCTCGACACGTCTTGGCGCACTGCAGGCCCTGGATGATATGGCTCGGACCAGTACTTGCGCCTAGGGCCCAGAGAAGCACTGGAGGCCACATCATAGCCAGGAAAGGAGTGAGGAGTGACCTGTTCAGATGGGGTTGGCAGGAAGCTCTGAGGCCGGTACTGGCTGTAGCTCCTGGATTCCGGGCCAGGAGGAACCCGATAGGCAGGCCCCTGCCCCCTGCAGCTGCTCTCCCCAAGTGGCTCTTGCTGGGCCCACTTGACAGGGCTAGCCGAGGGGCTGGGCCACATTTCAGAGAGCTGATTCTCAAGGGAGCCAAGGCCCGAGTCAAGGTGGTCTTGAGAGACATGGGCAAGGGAGTCCCTGGGAGGCAGCTGGTACTGATCTAAACTCCTATAACCGTGGCTCTTCCGGGCTGGGATGCCATGGGCACCGAGGAAGAAGGGTGGCACATCACCATGTCTAATGAGAGGGGCAGAGCTCGTCTTCTCAGCCAAGGCCTTCTGCAGGGGGACTTTCTCACTCTCTGCAGGTACAGAGCCCCAGAACTCCCCATGGGGGGGCCTCCAGCTCCTCCTCTCCTCCTTGGTGGCTGGTGCAGTCCTGGTGGGGGAGAGCCCGGCGTTGGCCCGGAGCTCATCGGCAACGGAGCGCTGCAGTTGGTGCGGCCGCTCAGGGTGGTAGAACTTACACTTGATGCCATAGGTGCACTTCTTGCCTAAAAGAGAAAGGTGAGCCATGTGACAGGTGTCCATCGCCCCAAACCCTTCACGCTGCTCTGTCTAAAGCAGCAAGGCCTCACCGTATGGGCACTGCTGCCTCTTGTGCTCGGGCACTGCTGGCGTCTTCCTCAGGAAGTTATCCAGGCTGGGTCCATGGCGCCCCAAGGGGTCATCGGGAGGCATGAACCTGGGGAGCAGATGAACCACGTCATCAGGAGCTGCAGGTCCCAAGGCCAGGCCCAGCCCTTCCCCATCTGCCAAGGCAATAGTGTGCCATGATCCCACCAACTCCACCACCTCCTGAAAAGCTGGCTAGAAGTGAGCAACCTGGTGGGCCTGGGAAGCTCAGCAGAGACTAAGAAGACCCTGCTGGGCACGCTGTCAGTTCAGGTTGCAAATGAGAAGGGCGCTTCCTAGTCAGGAACTTTATGTTCCAGAATTCTCAGCCATAGCCTTGGGGGGCTACTCTTCACCACCACTCCCGAACCCTACTCAGCCTCATGGCCAGCCTCCAGCCTTCCCCAAGGCCAAGGACTTACTTGTCATTGACAAAGGAATACATCAGCAAGCGTTCTTCAATGAACTTCTTCCACTCTGCCCGTTCTGCTTGCAGGTCCCGGTAGACATCGTTGGATACCACAATGCCGTCCGACTCCCAGGCTAGCTTCACAATGAAGCGGTCATCGTAGCAGACCACTCGCTTGCCTGCCACTCGCCGGGAAGGAGTGAAGACAAGGATGTTCTTCTTCTCGAGGTCATGGAGGATGTGCTGGTCTGCAGGAAGAGGTGGCAAAGTCATCCCCACTCAGGCTTCTTACAGAGGAAAGATCAGGGGGAACCAAGCTGTGGGTGCTCCAGAGAGCCCCTTGGCAGGACAAGGCCCTTGGCTGATCTCAATGAGCGGTCTGCCAAATCATTTCCTTCCTTCCTTCTAGTCTTTCTTGTTTGCCTAGATGTCCCTCTTCCTCTTCCTCCATGTTTTCTTCCAGGCACTGCCTCCCATAGCTCTACCCTTAATTTACATATCTAAACAAGATTATGATTTAGAGCAGGGGGCTGCAACCATGGCAACTTTAAAACTTGTGGACTTCAACTCTCAGAATAGCTGGCTGAGGAATTCTGGGAGTTGAAGTTCACAAGTCTTAAAGTTGCTACGGTTGAAGACCCTGCTTTAGAAGGTCAAGAATACAAATCAATCCTCTAAAATTGCTGTAGCATTTTTTAAAAAAATCTGCAAACATAATTTTTGCCATTAGAAACTGTCAAGTGTTCAGGTGATTCCAGATAGACGTCTGGAAACAGGGCTGACTATTTGAATGGTGCCCACAGTGTTCCTGATGCTTTGGCCAGCAGCAAAATTCAGGGAGCGGCCCCTTAAAGCCACTGAGAAGCAAAATTCCCACCAGAGGGATAAGAAGCGGCATGTCCCATCTCAGTCAAGTGTCTCCCCACCCTGAGGAAGAAGCACACGGGGCCACCACTAGCCTGCATCAATGTACTAGGATGGACAGCTGCCCAAGGCCACCTTGTTACCTGTAATGGCGACATCAGAGCGTGAATGCTCTTTTCTCCAAGATGGGACGAAGACCGTGACATCCTTGTGTCCTCGATCCAGAAACCAGGTCACAGCCAGCTGGATGCCTCGGCAGGAGAAGGAGTCTTTGTCTCCATGACTGCAAATGGAAGAGAATGGCAGGTTCAGAGTGCTTCCCCCACTTGGCATCCAAGAGACCTCAGGCAGCCAAAGGGGAGGGGCAGCCCTTCCAAAGTCTCCCAGTGGTCACGCTTCACTGCACTTCTGCTATTCACAATAAAGCCAAGTTGGCTCATCGATGGAGAGAGAGATCTGTGCACAAACTCATTCAACCATGCCAGGAAATTGACTCTGATTGTAACAGAATAACAAAGTAACAAGAGTGGATGGGACCTTAGAGGTCTTCTAGTCCAACCCCCTGCTCAAGCAGAGACCCTCTACCAATGATTGCTAACCTTTTCACTGCCAAGAGCCCAAAGCGTGTGGGTGGGAATGCACTTGCCTTAACCCCCAAAATGCAATGTGAGCACCCGCCGACACCCCGTTTTGGGCCTGGAAAGCCTCCTGCACCAACCTGAAAGCCAAAACGGGGTGCGTGGGGGGTGGGGCTCACACTGGCAAAGAGGCTGAGGCTGCAGGCCATTTGTGCAGGCAAAGAGGCAGTGCTGGCAGGCCAGTGTCTTGTGGCGAAGTCGTGCCCAGCTGCACCAACAAAGGCAAACCCCCAAAATGCAATGTGAACGTTCCCCAATGCACCCTGCTCCCCGCATGCCTCCCGCGCATGTGTGGCAGAGATACAAAGACCAGCTGGGTGGCGGGAGGTGCGCACACATGCATGGTGGAGCTGGGGTGGGGTGCCAGCTCTGCGTGCCATCTGTGCACGCGTGCCCTAGGTTCGCCATCATGGCCCTATACTATTTTAGACAAACGGCTGACCAATCTCTTCTTAAAAAACTTCAGTGTTGGAGAATCCACAATTCCTGAAGACAACTTCTGTTCCACTAATTAATTGTTCTCACTGTCAGGAATGTTCTCCTTAATTCCAGGTTGCTTCTCTCCTTGTTTAGTTTCCATGCATTGTTTCTTGTCTTGCCCGCTGATGCTTTGGAGAATAGTTTGACTTGCTCTCTAATTTAAAGAGAGCTTTGGAAGGATTCCATGGATGAGAATCCTGATGGGAACATAACTCAAGAAGCTTGGGAAATTTTGAAAAATGAGATTATAAAAGCCCAGTTTAGCACAATACCAGTGAAGAAGAAAAATAACAGCTCTCAAAAGAAACCAGCATAGCTGCATAAAAAACTTCCTAATAAATTGAAAGACAAAAAGGACAAGTATAAAAACTGGAAAAAGGGGCACATAATTAAGGCAGAAAGTCAGCAAATAGCCAGAGCCTGCAAAGATGAAGTGAGAAAAACTAAGGCTTTTATAATCT